AACTGAAGTGTCCACTTTTGTTTCAGTGAGTGATGGCATTAGCCCAATCAAATTATTGTCTCCTATGGACTTTTTTTCCTTTGAGTGTCAGTTCAAACAAATTAAAAGAACATAGTTTTGTCCCTTCCCTAAGTGAATGTACTGTACATAATCTTGTGTTTATTTGCAAAGGTTTTGAAATATTTATGCTCTACCCCTGTGGACAGTTTTCATGGCACATGATGTCTTATAGAAATGGTTCAATGAAATGAACATTAGTATTGATTAATTGGATTGTCCGGCAGTAACCTGGATGTTGTTCATGGAGAGATATGTTGAATAAGTTTTTCAAGTCTCATTTTTCACCAATAAAAAAACAAAAAATGGGGGAGTCCACCTAAATTACAAATGTTTTTACACTTAATAAATTAATTTAATAACTTTTGTTATGTCGACCTGTTTTATGCTCTCTTTTCCAGCACGTGCAATGTGGGACGAGTCATCTATGCTGTTATGAGGAGTGTATAGTATATACAAATACATCTGTCAAGGAATCAACATTTTTGTCGCGTTAGTATCCTTTTTGGGTTGGATCTAACTTGACAGTAAAAAGAAGTAAAAAATGCCAAAGAGGTCAGCTAAATGCAAACGCATTAGATTGCATTTCAATATGATAGACTCCTGTGCACTCACACAGGAGAAGGAACACTTTTATCAAGCTACCATTATTGAAAATGGTGCATTGTGTCCTACAGCTTTACATTGTCAGTCTATTTTTTTCTCCTTAAGATCATAATGTTCCTTGCAGATCTGCTTCCCCTGGTATTGATCACTCTGATTTATGGCTATACTGACCATCGAGCACAAATTAACTTCAGTGCAGAAACTAAGTTTGACCAACAGCCATCACTTCCATCATTCTCTATCCTACTATATTGGATGGGAATAGCTAGGTAAGGGATTTTTGTATTTTGACTGACTTATTCCCACTACACCTACAGGATGCCTGACCATTTTTTATAAAACCTGGGGCGCTATGCAATAGCATTTTTCAATAATGTTTATGGTTTTTGTTTTCCTGGTGCATACTCTTTACAGATTTCTGCACAGAGTAACTTTGCAAAGTGGGAGCAGTGGTGAATGCAACTTTTGGCTTCCATCACAGAGATGACGTTCTACATTACTGCAGCCTGCTGCAGGGACAACCAATGCTGCCACCAAATGTTGATGAAGAGATTGTTAAGGGCACTCACTGGGACCTTCACTTGGGTGTAACCTGTTCATAATCACCTGTGAGTGCCTAAAACGGACAGATGGACAGTTTATTAAACGTTATCAATTTAACATGCAGCGGTTAGACTCCTTTCTGTGATAATTAGCATGTTCAGTATCTTCATTTGGCATCCTTTTCACTGAGACTCAGGTCTAAAAATG